TCTCTCTCTCTCTCTCGCTAACGTAAAAAAAATAATTAATAATGTCAAAAGCATAAAATATATCGGTACAAAATCACATTTGTAAAGAAAACATTGGTAAAAAAAGGCGCCCAATATGGACTCACCAGTAGTCAAAATTTACCCCATTGCAAACCTATGTAGAATCCTATGAAAAATAACCAGATGCAAACCCATGTAAAATCGTACTTATGTAGAATCGTACTACAAAGTAATGATATATCAAAAACCTATATAGAGTCGTATATGAACTAGTAAAAAAAACAAATTTTAGTTAAAAAAACTTGGCGCGCTGCTAAATAATATCCTATAATGATATTAAAATTAAATTGTTACTTTAAAATTAAAACTTATTGCAGTTAAAATATATTTGTAGTTAATTAATTAATGTTATTTTAAGGGCATTGTAATTTTGAAACTTAGCAGCGCGCCCCAATTTTTTTAACTAAAATTTTTTTTTATGTTTTACTGGTTCATTATACGACTCTATATAGGTTTGCAACTTAATTTTCCACTGGTACAAGTTTCTACTTTCACTTGGCGCAATTTTTTTATTGTTATATTTTTTATTTTTTAATATCATTACTTTTGTAGTACGATTCTACATAAGTACAATTCTACATGGGTTGCAATGGTTAAATTTTTATAGGATTCTATCTATGATTCGCAACAAATTCAAGTCAGAATGCTATTCACAACATGTCGTACAACGCAAAAAACATTTTTAAACATGTGAAATACACATAAATCAAAATATACAGGATGTCCAATAATAATCTCACCTCTGCAGGTTAAACTGATGTAGGAATAAAATCCTTTATCTTTTTTGCGATTTTGCAATAATTAATAAAATTAGTTCACATAATAAAAAAATTAATTCACAGAAGTGATGCGGTTATTATCGAACATCATGTATATATACGAATAAGAGGAAGCCTGCATGCAAACATTTGGTTTTAAGGATTGTTACTTTACAGATCAATTATACGCCAAAACACAAATCGAGAGTTTTTTCAGACGTTAAAATTATATATATATATATATATATAATATATATATATATATATGTATGTCTGTATGTATGTATATAATGTCAATTATATATATAATTATAATTATATAATTTCCATTATATATTCTTATTTTATTATAAGGACACTAAATGTGCAATTAAATGCATTTAATTTTGATTACCTGAATAGATGTACTTATAATTCGAAATTATTATTATATGTATACATATATAATTGTTATTATATGTATACAGAGTGTCCAAAATATCGTCTGCCACACTTCAGGAGGTGATTCGAGACAAAAAAAAAAGAAAAAAAGTTATAAAACATAGGTCCACAAATAAGTCGTTTCCGAGTTATAATTTTTAGTCCGCTTGGCATCCCTCTTTTTTAATTTTTTCTCAAATTAACATTTTTAATTTTTTAATTTTATTTGTTACGTTATTTAATTTTCAATTTTGATTTTTATTTAATTTTAAATTTTATTTTAATTTTTTTCAATTTTAATTTTTTTTTTTTTTTTTCAATTTTTCGATATACTTTTAAATACGTTTACATTATCTTTAAAAAATATAAAATTTTAATTTTAAAAAAGGTTAAGAAAAAAGGATGCCAACGGACTATATAATTACAATTTTTTTAACATAATGGTTTATAAAAAAACTATCTAACTCGGATACGAACCTATATTTATATAACATTTTTTTCTTCTTTTTTGTCCCCGTCCTCAATCTCTCGAAGTGTGGCAGGCGATTTTTTTTGGACACCCTATATATTAATAAGTTTCTTAAAAAGTATATATTAAGGTTACGTTAGGTTATAGCAGGGTTGGAAAGTAACGCGTTACTTGTAACGCAGTATCGGTACAGTTAACGGTGTTACAAATTTTATTTGTAACGGAAAAAGTAACTTCTTTACATTTTTTGGTAACTAGTAATTAATTTAACCGTTACTTTTATCGTTACTTTTTCCGAATTTATCGGTAATTATCTAGAGTAACTAGCAATGACCTATTTAACATAAAATGTTTAAAAATGTTTATTAAGTGTTTATTTTGATTTTTTATTAAAAAAAATTTGTTTTATACAGGACAGCCCGTAGGAAATTACTGAAACTAATCAGCTGTCATTTTTTAATGCATGCAGTTATTGGAGAAAACAAAATTGTGTTGAAAAAACGAAAGTCTGCAATTTTAATAATGGATATAAATAAAATGTTTGTATACCAGATTATTTTATTGATAAAAAGTAATGAAAAAGTGCTAATAATCATATAAAATTACATAAATTAATGATAAATATTTTCAACAGTGCCAGATTTAATAGCAGCTATTAAAAGGACCGTGCAATAACATTAAAAATGACATATTAAAAAGTTTTTATGAGTTTTCGTAAAAGACCAGATTTTGTACAAATTCAAATAGTACGCACTTCGAAAATATTTATCATTAGTTTACATAAACTAATTTTTTTTTCAATAAAATAAACTGGTATATAAACATTTTATTATTGTACATATAAGTTAATGTAATTGCATGCATTAAAAATGACAGCTGATTAATTTCAGTAATTTCCTATGGGACACCCTACATATAAGTTTATTATATATAAAAAAGAAAAAAATAACGAAAATTGTAACGACTCGTTACCTTTTAAATAACTGTAACGGTAACGAATTACTTTTTAGAAAAAAATAACGGTAACGATAACGAGTTACTTTTATAGAGTAACTTTTCCAACCCTAGTCATATATTACATTACCAAAATCTATTGCATCACATATTAAAATTGTAAATTTTTAATTGATTTGAATATATAAGTAATGGAATAAACTGTACAATTATAAATCATATGTCTATTAACAATAAAATTTAAAGTACATAACTTATTTTTTTACTAATCTCTACTTATTCATATTTTAAATTCAATCCCATATAGCACCATGTCCAAAATTGATGCCTAAGACATCTTTAAATGCTTTTAAGGCCTAGTTTATACCGATATACTTTGATACGCGTATTAATTAATTACACTGACCAATCATAGTCATTCTATTCTTTAGAAGAATGGCTGTGATTCGTCAGTACGGCGTTTGACGTGTATCAAATAATCGGTGTAAACTAAGCCTAAGATGTCTTTGAAATATCATATCATAAGATTTCTTAAGATGTCTTAAAGATTTGTAATGATGTTTTATGCCCCAATTTTAGACATGGTGCTATCTGGATAGCATCCAAATTATGTTAAAAATATGTTAAATAATCAGTCAATTTATATCATTTTGATATACTAATATCTTTTATGCTATAAATTCGTAAAATTTTTTTCTCGTATACAAAGTTAGATTCAAGCGGTTAAATAATTGGATAAATAAAGCACAAATTGAAGTGGAAGCGGAAGTTGTAGCTATATAAAGATCATGCTGAGGAGAGAGAGAATGTAGCAAAATATGTAGATCTAATCTACTAAAAAAAAATATAATTTAATCGAAAGATCGCCTAAACGTATCCTCTATATTGATTAGCATGCGCCTGATCCTTGTCAGACCCTGAATAAGTTGTTTTACCCAAGATTCCGATATGCCCAAAACGGATATCATAAATCTTTTTATACCGGTGGTTGTCGTCTTCGTGAGATCTTCATCGCCAATATTGATTGTCTTATTAGTAGTTTCTTTGGGGTTTTGTCTTTTCACTTCATTCTTTATGTCCTCATTATTGATCCTAATAAGCTCTTCTAAATATAATGGATCTGGACCATTCTTTAAAGTTTTTGTGTTTACGAGTAGATCATCGGCTATCCTTTGCACATCCTTCGAATTTGCCTTTCCCTCTTGAACAAATCTGTTAATAGTATCCAATAGCTCGTTGATCCTCATCCTTTGCCTCTCGTCTTTCACTTCGACTTCATGAGGTTTAAACACATGAAACTTGGTTGAGTCTTTTGGTTCTATAGCCTCCATTTTCGGTGTTGTTTTCGACACCTTGGGAGAAATAAGACCTATGTTCTCCAAAATTTTCCGCATATTATCCGGCACAACCTCAATTAACGATGGCCGTTCTGTCGTTCTCGGCGCCGACATAGCCTTTTTCTGCCTAGTATCACCAATGCCAAGACCGAACTTTGCTTAAAAACTCTTTCATATCCTCATTTTTTATCTTAGATGTCGGTAATGGCTTGAAATTGGTATAGGAATTTGTGTTCATGGTTGTTCTAGGCGAAGACGTTGTAGTTGTTACCAGATTGGATGGATTTTGCAGACCAAATCGTTGAAAAAGTAACTGTACATCCGGCGTAAGATTGTTCATTCCTTTTCCAATCTCGAGGACGGGATTTTCAAAAGTATTTTGAGCAGTTATCGAAGATGAATCGGATCCAACACCCGTCAGACCGGAAATTGGCGTATAAACCAAGCCGTTGCTATTGGGAATCTCGGATTTGCTTTTCAATGATTGGTTTTTTCTAAATACTTCCTCCACATTCGTAGAATTTTCCGGTCGAAGTCCAATCGAGGCAAGCAATTCCATCACTTCTGGTCGCATCGTAGTTGTTGTGATTGTACGAGAGAGAAATCCTCCAGAATTCAAGCTATAAGTGGAATTGTATTTCAAATTTTCTGCAGAAGAGAGAGAAGAAGAAAGGAAAGGTATTAATGTTGTGTGTGTGTGTGATTGCTTGGTATCCGTCATTTGTATGTCATCTAAAGCGGATGTTTTCGCCGGTGTCGAACTTTCGGTCACACTTGGTGCGTTGTAACGCCATTGGTCAACAGATAAAACATTTTCCTTGTACTTGAAAGGACGAGATGTTTGTAACTCTATTAAATCGCTTGTCGAAGCATCTTCCTTAGAACTCGTCCTTGTAGGTTGCATCGTTGTTGTGCGAACGTGTTTTAGGTTTGTGTGAGCACTTGTACTGTACACTATGTGGACCTCTTTATTCCTAATTGATGAAGATTCTTCCCGAAATACTGGTTGTCTAGTAGTAGTAATTATGGGTGTCTCGCTGATTGCCTGTTGCTTTTGCAAATTATCGAAATTGAGACTAAATTTCACTGGGGCCGATTCAAGTTTCGGGGTTTCCTTCATCAATGGCATTTCCGAAAATTTATCCGTCTCTCTGTGATTTTTATATCGTATTTTCGGGAAGAAATCTTCTCTCTCCGAGACTTGTGTCGCTATTAAATTTTCAAAAGATTGTATTTCCTGCGTGGAGGATGCATCGGATTGTTCTTCGGTTTTCGACACTTTGAAATCTTCCGAATTAGAAGAAAAAGAGTCTGCGATTATTTTAACTATTGGCGGTTTCGTATATAAATCTTTAATATTTTCCTTTGCGTCTTTTGCATTGTACGGTAAACTACCATCAACGCCCTTTCATAAATCTTTCTTGCTTTCTCGATTGTTTCCTTATTCTTGAGTGCCTCTGTATCTTTGGGCGATGTAATATTTAAAAGAATATCGACGATCTCACGTCTAGTGAGATGCGACAAAGTCGAATTCTGACGAATCAATTGTTCCACTTCGTTGATCGTTTGATTACTCAAGTTTTGAACTTCGATTCTTGATTTGTTTGTATGTGGAAGACCATTGCCATGACATAAACCAAAGGCGATCAGCATACACAATAATGCAATCTAAAAAAATAACAGTTTCGAATTACATCTGAATTATGCGACAAAAATTATAAAAATAAATGCATGACATTTTATTGTAATTATTATACAAATTTGAAAAAAAATTGCAATAAATTTTAGATAAAATATTATTAGTATTTTAACATCATTATGTGAAGTAATATTGTATAGTTTAGGTATCCAATACTTCAATGGTTTTCAGAATAGTTACATTATAAATTCAAAACACTAATATTAATCAAACTTAATCAACACTAAACTTAATCAAAATTAGTTTGTATCCAATACTTCAATGGTTTTCAGAATAGTTACATTATAAATTCAAAACACTAATATTAATCAAACATAATGAACTGTAACTAATATGAAGAAATAATGAACTGTAACTAATATTAATATAAAATTTTTTAAATATGCTTAAATGTACCAAAAACATCACGTTTAACAAAAAACATTTTGAATAAAAATTTCTGGTTTTGAAGGGGAAAGAAATTGACGATATTACCTTTTTGTAAAGAATTATTTTCAAAATAATTTGAAGATCATTTATTAATAAAAGCCTTAACTTTTTTATATAAATTAATATTCTTTTCATTGTAAATTAATTTCTCACAATATTTATTATAAAAAATTATAAGGATAAAATGGCCAAAATTGAATAGTATATTTTTATGATTTAAGGGGATCCTAAATGATGTTTTTACCGACCGAATGCGAGAATATTTATTTTTTTCATATAACTTTTTATTGACTATACTGATCAATAAATCCTTTTCCACGATTAAAGTACTTATAAAAACGGACCGCGCTAGCTATGTTTGCATATATAAATCATATAAAAATCAAAAATTACAGTTTTGTTATCGGCTGCTTTGTGTCAGTTCGTAATAATACTTATTTAATAAAAAAAGTTTTGCAGTTTGTCTGTGCATGAAATATAGTATGCGCGGTAAGGATTATATGAAGAAATATTAGTAAGCAATTAAAAGTGAGATTGCAAGTCTAATAAAAAAGTTATATATAAAAAAACATTTCACGCATATGTGTGTGTGCAAATCGAGGCTGCGGAATAAAACAGAGCAGTAGATTAGTTGCGTGATATCGTGATAGATGGAGCTGCAACGTGTTTCTCTCTCTCTCTCTCTTTCTCTCGCTCTCTCTCTTTCTGTTTTTTATAAGGTCTGTTCGTTTTGGCTACACTGGCCACATTAGTTCAGAGGTTGTCTTTTTTGTTCGACATTGGAAGGAAAAAGATAACCTCTGAATTAGTGTAGCCAATGTATGCCATTATATATTTTATGTTTGATAATATAAATAATACATCAATTTTTTTCTATAAAAAACTATATATAAAACAGAAAAAATTTTGTGTTATTTATATTATCAAACACATGAAATATATAATGACATACAATTTTATTTTAATTATATTTGTATAATACAATAATATTCACATGATTTTTATAGATAATAAGTATATGCATTTATAATTTATAAAAACTAAATCTTATTTTTCATACATCGAAGTAATTCGAGTAATGATTTTACTGAAATATATATTTGATAGACATTGTGATTCTAACGAATTTTATTTGTTCGCATATACCTGTAAATTGTTATAAAAATTACTTTTACTGTAAATGTAAGATAAATTGTATGCAATCTATAAAACAAAAAGAGAGAGACAGAGAGAGAGAGAGAGAGAGAGAGAGAGAGAGCGAGCTTTTTTTTCTTTCCCGAAAATAGAGACATTCAATGCAAACGGTGAATTGTATATCTCTTTACGACACGTACAGCCGAGGAAAAATTTTTTATATATAATTATATAAAATAATTGTATAATTATACATATAATTTTGCGATTATATATGTATAAAATTATACAATTATTTTAATATAATTATATATAAAAAATTTTTTCCCGGGTTGTATGTGTCGTAAAGAAATATATGTATAATTGATCGTTTGCATTGAATGTCACTATTTTTTGAAAAGTAAAAAAAGAGAGCTCTCTCTCTCTCTCTCTCTCTCTCTCTTTCTTGATCCTTTATGCTTATTGTTAGTATTCTATCAATTAGTAATCAATGCAATCAATCATATCGTTTTACGGCAACAGCCAGTTACTCGTTCACTCACTCATTCATTCTTTTAAAATATGTCCATTTTTATACATAATTATGTAAATTTATATATAAAAAATAAGGGTGCATATATAATCATGTCAAATTTGTATATAAAACATATATATTTATATATATAAAGAAATACTTATTTATTACACTTGTATATATATATATATATATATATATATATATATATATATATAAATTATATAATTATATATAACAAGCACTTTTACTTAATTATGTATAGACATATTTCATAATATAATTCTGCGATTATACGTATACTTTTATATATTTCTATATAATGTTATATTATTATATACACAAATTTTTGTCCCGGGGTATTTTAAACTTTTATTTTCTTTTTCTTTCCCCATTCTTGTCTGTCTTTACATGCATGTTATTATGTTGTATGTGTATCATGTATAATTTGGATTTGTATGTATGTTGAGAAGATTGGAATAGATAAAATTTTATTACTTCATGTTTTTATATTATAAATGCAGCTTTTTGTAAATATCCGAAATAAATAATTTTTCTACAAATATTTTAAATTTATCAAAATATTTTTTACTGCACAATTAGACTAATATATTTTGCATTATTCTATCTTTATTAATTTATTTCATAATAAAATGGATTTTATTGAACAAATAATAAATAGTAAATAGAGAAAATATAAAATATCGAAAAGAATATATTCATATAAACATATATTTGTGAAATCGAAATTTTGTTAAAATTGACTTTCATAGAAATTGTATTTTATAAATTTAATTAAAAAAAGCTGCATTTATCAGATAGAAACATAAAGTAATAAAATAATATATTCCAATCTTCTCAACACACACACACACACACACACACACACACACACACGCACACAACTTCTTATAACAAATGTTATATAAATTATACATATACAGGATGTAACAACGATCATATATCAGGAGTTTTTAGAAGAAAATACGTATTTTATTGAAAAATGTTTTATTACCAAAGTTATAAGGGTTACTTATCATTACATAGTAGTATTAGTATTATGTTGAATAGCATTATCAAAGTCACATAAAGATTATTTGGAAATAATGGAAACCCTCATTTTTTATTGCATGTACATACATGTAGCTTACTTTGAGAGCTTTTCTAAATAAATTTTTCATTCTGTGCATGCAATAAAAAATGAGGGTTTCCATTATTTCCAAATAATCTTTATGTGACTTTGATAATGCTATTCAACATAATACTAATACTACTATGTAATGATAAGTAACCCTTATAACTTTGGTAATAAAACATTTTTCAATAAAATACGTATTTTCTTCTAAAAACTCCTGATATATGATCGTTGTTACATCCTGTATATGTATAATTTATATAACATTTGTTATAAGAAGTTGTGTGCGTGTGTGTGTGTGTGTGTGTGTGTGTGTGTGTGTGTGTGAGAAGATTGGAATATATTATTTTATTACTTTATGTTTCTATCTGATAAATGCAGCTTTTTTTAATTAAATTTATAAAATACAATTTCTATGAAAGTCAATTTTAACAAAATTTCGATTTCACAAATATATGTTTATATGAATATATTCTTTTCGATATTTTATATTTTCTCTATTTACTATTTATTATTTGTTCAATAAAATCCATTTTATTATGAAATAAATTAATAAAGATAGAATAATGCAAAATATATTAGTCTAATTGTGCAGTAAAAAATATTTTGATAAATTTAAAATATTTGTAGAAAAATTATTTATTTCGGATATTTACAAAAAGCTGCATTTATAATATAAAAACATGAAGTAATAAAATTTTATCTATTCCAATCTTCTCAACATACATACAAATCCAAATTATACATGATACACATACAACATAATAACATGCATGTAAAGACAGACAAGAATGGGGAAAGAAAAAGAAAATAAAAGTTTAAAATACCCCGGGACAAAAATTTGTGTATATAATAATATAACATTATATAGAAATATATAAAAGTATACGTATAATCGCAGAATTATATTATGAAATATGTCTATACATAATTAAGTAAAAGTGCTTGTTATATATAATTATATAAATTTATATATATATATATATATATATATATATATATATACAAGTGTAATAAATAAGTATTTCTTTATATATATAAATATATATGTTTTATATACAAATTTGACATGATTATATATGCACCCTTATTTTTTATATATAAATTTACATAATTATGTATAAAAATGGACATATTTTAAAAGAATGAATGAGTGAGTGAACGAGTAACTGGCTGTTGCCGTAAAACGATATGATTGATTGCATTGATTACTAATTGATAGAATACTAACAATAAGCATAAAGGATCAAGAAAGAGAGAGAGAGAGAGAGAGAGAGCTCTCTTTTTTTACTTTTCAGAAAATAGTGACATTCAATGCAAACGATCAATTATACATATATCTCCTTACGACACATACAACGCGGGAAAAATTTTTTATATATAATTATATTAAATAATTGTGTAATTATAATTTTGCGAAAAATAACAAAAATTGGGTACATGCTAAAAATGTAGCATGTAGACACCCTATATATACATATTTGTAAACAAAATCGTGTGCGCGCAATGACATATATTTGCGCGGGATGGTTCACTTGTCACGCGGTACGTACTATACGTGCTTACACGCAGTGCGCGACTCGACCGTTATAACGTGTGATAACGTGTCGAATATTGTGATAGATAGACATACTGTGATATTTTAAAAGTAATATTTTTATATTTATTAAATATATAGTGTATAATGGGTGCAAACAAAAATAAACGTTTGCCCCTATCTGGTCGCAGATTGAGTAGAAAGGGAGCATGTTTTAAAA